TTTTTGAGTAAGAGCTTTTTTTAAGCCAATTTTGAAAATTTCTTTCAAGAGTTACTGCAATAAATCTACACTATTGATTTCGCAAGTGGTGGTTCTCAGGCACTCTCTGGAGTCACTTAAGTGTTTAAATTCTTCTCTTTATTACTCCAACAGTACCACTGGCCCCAGATGGGCAGACATGCAGGGCTCTTGGGCCCTTCAAGGCAAAAGCTTAGCAAAGATTTCCATCAGCTCAGAGACAGCAGGAGGGCACTGACGACGGACAAGACCACACACAGATTTCTTCCTTTCTTGGTCTCCGTCTGCCAGTGGAAGTTGTGATACCATGGTATCGTGTCTGAGGGGGACAGCTATGGAGTAAACGCAAATCCGAATAAACCCCAGATGGCAATGAATGGTGGAGAATTATGTCTCTACTGTGGATTGTTCTCAGGGACTCCTGGACCAGCCCCGAGGGGCATGTTTTAAAGGTGGCTTTAGGCAGTCAAACCTCAAGTCACTGAGCACAAACACAGTGCCAAGTTGTGCTAAAAACAAGAACAGTTAACGTTTGCTGATGTTCGCTAGTGCGAAAGCATTCTAAGCGCGCGACACCCGTTGGCTCATTTCCTTATTCTCACACCAACTCTGTGAAATGGGAACAAGTCGCATCTCCAGTTTGCAAACAGGGAAAAGGAGGCCGAGTTGCCCAACGGTACCGAGCTGGTGGAGCCAGGATTTGAACTCAGGACCCACAGCGCGCTCGATCGTAACACTTGCTGTGTTTCCTTGGCAGAGTCTCGCGTGACAGTCTTGGCTCCACCCCCCTGGTTCCCTCCTTCCTCCCATCTCTTGCTTCTGCCTTCCTACCTTTCTCTTCCTTCCCTCGTGCCTTGTTTTCTTCTCTATCCTTTACATAAGTACTTCTTGGAGGCCCAATATTACAACACATAGGGGTGGAGTTGCTTTTGGTGCTGCAGGGGTGACGTTAAGGACCAACTCCAGTCCCACGGCCACCGCCGTCACTGCCCCTTGGTATGCTAAGGGTCCTGGGGCCACAGTTTGGAAATCATCCCCCTGCATTGTCTTCAGGGCCCCATCGTCCAACAAGCATGGCCCTTCTTTGCAATGCTGCCTCCAGAGGACAGGGATACCATCTTCCTGAGCCAGAGACCGCAAACTGACAGCCAGCAGAGATACAGATTTGAGCGACATCACGGCTAAAAGGTTGAGGTTCTTATATTTTAAAATTCAGAGATTTTATAGAAAAACTCCAGGAAAAAAAAAAAAAACCTTCATGATCCACAAGGCAGCGGTTGGTGGGAGCAAGGAGGCTACGTATCCATTCAGATGAGCAGAGCCGGACCACAGGCACCATATGGCTTTCTCCCCTAAGCGCCCCTAAAGTCTCACGTTTCAAACTGTGGCTCAATTCACTTTACGGTGGGTATGTCACATTATGTAGATTTTAGGGACGAAGCAGGTAAAAGCCGTGTGGGGTGAGGGAGGGTAGGAAGAAGCGCAGTCCCACAAAAGTGAACCGACGAAGGAGTCGATTCTTTCTTCCCAAAGGAATTCCTCGTCTGGAGTCAGAATGTTTCATCCTGAGCCTCCCTGGGGTGCATCTCACTGTCGGGCCGGGCTTGCCTGGCTTATTCGGTCACATCTGTTCCCGAGATCCCTGCCGACACGGGCCAGCTTCTTGCTCCTCTCGGCCTGAGGTCTCCAGCCCCCTGCAAAACTGTGTCAACCTTCTGCCCCCAGCACCACCCTGATGCCACTCTGACCCGGGACTCTGCACAGCTCTGGGGAAAGCTGGAGTTTCCCCCACACTGTGACTCCTAATTGTTTTTCCATCTTGAAACCAAGAGTCAGCATGAGTGGGGGGCTGTGGCAGGTTCCCGATGGGCACCTGGCCAGGCACTGCCTTCCACCCCTGGTTGAGCACCACGTAGTGCAAACACCCCTCCTGGGTGCAGGGACCTGAGAAAGTGCTCTGCTCTGGCATTTGTGCAAAATAGGAACCACAATTACCTCTGAAAGGGATTTTATTGGGATTTGAAATAATATATGCATGGGACCTGGTCCAGTGCCTGGTACGCAGGGAACATTTCATACACGGTGGCTTGTTGTCTTTATTTTTTTTTTAATTTTTTTAAATATTTATTTTTGAGAGACAGCGCAAGTGGGGGTGGGGCAGAGCGAGAAGGAGACACAGAATCGGAAGCAGGCTCCGGACTCCGAGCTGTCAGCACAGAGCCCGACGTGCGGCTCGAACTCCTGAACCGTGAGATCGTGACCCGAGCTGAAGTCGGACGCTTAACCGACTGAGCCACCCAGTTGCCGCTTGTTGCCTTTATTCTTACGTTACCTTGAGAATACCTCAGGAAGGTCACCTGTCGCCCGCAAAAACCATATAACACGATATCTTTGAAAGTCGCAAAGGCAAACTCCGCGTCTCTTTTCTCTTGTCCGGCACCGAGACCCCCTTTCGCACAATTGCAGCGGAAGAGGGCGCAGCTCGGGTTGAGTTGAGCTGCCCCTTCCGCATTCCAGTGTCCTACCCGGAGAAAGGGAAGGCCGTCATTTCAGTCGTCTAGATGACGGCACTTAGTCTCAGTAGGTGGTGCCGGCTGCTGTGATGCTCCAAATAGAGTTTTCTAAGAAAATGAAGACGGGCACAGGTTGAGGCACGTCGCAGACTCCGGCACATCCCAGTGGGGCCACAGCAGGGTCTTGGGGCTTTTGTCTCATCCGTGACCAAGGAAGATAGACCGAGCAGAGTCTATGAAGCAACCACTGGACGTCTCCAGCGTACTCAGCCCGTACCCATCTCTGCCGAGGAAGGAGATGCCCGTGCGAGGGTTCTTGCTAACAGAGCACAGGTGACCCCCTGACATAAAGCCCCGCCTGTCGCCCAGGGAAGAGACAGACTGGGCCAGAGCAGGTGGGAAGGATTTCTGGGGGCCGAGTCGAGCAGGCTCAGGTCCCTGCAGGCTTAGCTGCCGGACCAAGTGTGACTCTCTTAGTTTGGAAACATTCCAGACGCCAGACACTTCTTCCTCATTTTCCAAGGCAAGTCGTCCGTTCTTGAGATTGCACAGCTCATGGACGGATGCACCAGACAACGGATTTGTGTTCCCTCCCACATCCCATCCCATAAACCGTGGTTTTCTCGGTACCACTTCCCGCCCGGAGAGCACGAGGCAGATTCCCGAGTCCCGGGGGGCGTTGGTCAGTGCGGCCACCTCCCCGTCACCTCCTCCCCCAGCTGCCGAACAGGGCTGGAGGTGATGGGCTGGAGAATTAGCCTTCTGGCTGCTGAGCAAGCCCCCCAAAGATCGAGTGGGTGTGTCCTTATCACCCCAGCAAAGGGAAGGGTTTCTCTAGCAACTCGTCATAGTGGTACCGGCCTCTGTTTGGGGTGCAGAGTTGTTGTCTTTTTTTAAGTTTATTAATTTATTTTGAGAGAGAGAGAGAGAGACAGAGAATGATAAGCAGGCTCTGCACCATCAGCACAGAGCCCGGTGCAGGGCTTGAACTCCTGAACTGTGAGATCGTGACCTGAGCCGAGATCAAGAATCAGACACTTAACTGACTGAGCCCCTCGGGCAGCCCTGGGGTGCAGTTGGTAAGCAGACCTGTTTCCCTCTTGACGTGCCATGGAAGATTCCCCTCGATTCCCTCGGAAACACGTGGGACGCCAGCCCGCGATAACTGCCGTCGGCTGCCCGGCCCCCCACGTTCCGGAGCGCAGCACGCGGGCAAGCGGGCACTGCAGGCCCTCCGCTGCCCGGCTTTCCGGCTCACCAGCATCCTGCCCCACAGACTCCGCCGCGAGCCTGGAAAGCCTCCTTCCTGCCTATTTCCACCAATGGCGATTCTGTCGATTCGGCAGCTCCACAGAGCTCTCCCGGTTCCCTTCCTGTGACCTCCCGCAACAAGGGCTGGTGTAGGTGATAAATACTCGAGGCTCTGCAGGCTTTCCACAGCCTCACACCGTTACTCGACCCCGCTCCTGCAGCACGAAAGCGGCGGAGGCGAAACGCAAAGCCCACCCAGGGCCGCGTTCCAGCGAAACGGTTCACGCGGACGGGCGGCAGGCTGGATTCGACTCACGGGCCGCGGTCTGCCGACCCCCTCACCGGAGAAACTCGCTCGCTGGGTGCCTCGTGACCCCACACTTGACCTCCGGCTGCCGTGGGGAGCACAGGTTCAGGGGTCCGGAGACGCCGCCTTCGCTCTGACTCTGCGGGGTCGTGGGCAAGCCGATTCCCCCTTCGGGGGCCTTCGCCGCGGTGTCTGAAAAAACGAGAAGTTTGGACGGTCGCGGGTTCCCAAAGCGTCACACCCGCTGGGGCAAGCTTGCTAACGAGACACGTGTCTGGGCTCACCTCGGATTCAGGGTGTTGATCGGGACGCCTCGTGGGGAACCAGAGTCCCGCTAGCTACGGGCCCCTCCGTCGAGGCACAAGAGGCCGTGTCAGGGTGTGCGAGGCAGGTCACGCGGTCTCAGGAGAGCCACCGCGATGAGCCAGCGAGGCAGCCGGGAGGACACCGGTGAAGAAAAGCAGCAGCTGCGTGGAAACCTGGCCCCAGCCGGCCGGCACAGTGACCTGGGCTTGTTCGCGGGAGGTGCCCCCGCCCCTGCCCGGAACTGCTCACGTCCTCCGAGCTGCCGCAACGGGCTGACCCGCCGAACTCAGCTCAAAGGGAGTCTCTTTAGTCCAGAGTTCCCCAGGCTCCTGCTGCAGGGGTGAGGCCGCGGGATTCGCCGCTTGTCTGAGGAGCTGGTACAAACCGGCCCAGACACCTGTGAACGCCCAGCGCTCCAGACTCTGCCCGGTTCCTCCCTCGTGGGGGCCGCTCCCTCCGTCCCAGCCGCCGCGCCCACGCACTGTCCCCGGCAGGTGTCTGCTCTCTCCTTAGACGCGAGTTACAGCCCGAAGGGGAGAAAAGGGCCCTCGCACGGAACACGGTCAGCTAAAAGCCATTTATTTCCTTTGCTCCCTCCCTTCCAGAAGCAGCAGCTGGTTCAGCGAGGTCGTGCAGATGAACTTCGAAATAGCCAGCTTCAGCAGCCTCTCGGGGACGCAGCCCATCACCTGGCAGGTGGAGTACCCCCGGACGGCGACCACCGACACGGCCGTGTCCGAGATCTTCATCAGCCAGAAGGACCTGGCGGCCATCGTCCCCCTGGCCACGGTAAGGGACCTCGCCTGCGCCCCGGGGGGGGGGGGCCCTCCCCTCTGTCCCAGGACGCGCGCTGCCTCCAGAGGCCCCAGGGCACTGGCACCTCCCTGTGCCTTGAGGAGCGGCCGTACCATCAGCCTGGCCTCTCTCAGCCCAGGTTCCTGCCCTGCGACCCTCACCACGCTAGCTGCAGCCCCATCCTGGTTCGCCATGTGCTTGATTTCCTTCCATTTGTGCTCCTTGTTTTTCTCATTATCTTCTGCTCCTTTTGTCGTGCTCCCATAAAGACATTGTAGTCTTGGCTTCAGGAGCAGAACCCAGTGCCCATCCCCCGTCTAGCCCGCTCCCCCGCCATAAACCCTCAGTTTGTTCTCTGTATTTAAGACTCTCTTAGGGTTTGCCTCCCTCCCTGTTTTTATCTTATTTTTCCTTCCCGTCCCCCTGTGTTCATCTGTTGTGTTTCTCAAATTCCACCTGTGAGTGAAGTCATCTGATAGTTGTCTTTCTCCGCCGGACTTATTCCGTTTAGCATAATACCCTCCAGTCCCATCCACGTTGTTGCAAATGGCAAGATTTCATTCCTTTTCATCGCTCAGTAGTATTCCACTGTGTATATACACCACATCTTCTTAATCTATTCGTCATCCGTTCATTTGGGCTCCTTCCATAATTTAGACACAGTGACCAGGGACCTGTTAGGGTGAGACGCTATAAACAGTGGGGTGCAGTGCCCGTGTGAATCGGCATTTTGGTGTTCTTTGGATAAATACCTAGAGTGCAATTGCTGCATCGTAGGGTGGTTCTATGTTTCATGTTTTGAGGGACCTCCACACTGTTTTCCAGAGCGGCTGCACCAGTTTGCATTCCCACCAAAAGTGCAAGAGGCTCCTTTTAAACAAATTTTTTAATGTTTATTTATTTTGAGAGAGAGAGAGAGAGAGCAGGGGAGGGGCAGAGAGAGAGGGAGGAAGAGAATCCAAAGCAGGGTCCACACTGTCAGCGCAGATCCCGACGTGGGACTTGAACTCACAACCGTGAGATGACCTGAGCCAAAATTAAGAGTCAGATGCTTAATCGACTGAGCCACCCAGGCGCCCCTCTGCTCCTTGTTTATAAGGAAGCGTCAGGCCCCTCTGTATGCTAGTGGATAAGCGAGGCAAGACTACCGCCACAAACAACCTCAGAAACTCAGGTGCTCAGCACAACACAAGTTATTCTTGCTTATGTTTCATGGATCAAATGGTAGGGGGCTCTGTTCCGGCCATGTCTCAGGGGCATCACCATCTTGTAACTATGACATCAGGAACATGTGGCCTTCACGGTCTCTGGGACAGAGGAACAGACGTGTGGAAAGTCACATGCGAGCTTCTCTAAGCAATGGCATGGAAATGACTTTCCACGCCCACGCGGCTGGTCACAGGGAGTCCCATGGCCCCATCGGGTTTCCAGAGGGCTGGGTGAGCACCATCGCGGGGCAGGTCAACGCGTCATTGACCCGCGTGGGTCACAGTGCGAACCCGTGCCGTGACTTCTGGCTCCACCCTGTGGCTGCTGGAAATGAGCCCGGGAGAGAAAGCGGTGAGAAGGTAGATGGCACTTTTGCTCCGAGGTCTCTCACCTAGCACGCTGGGACTTTGTCCAGGGCCATCCCTGAGCTCGGCTTTGCTCCACGTAGGGATGCGTTGCCAGGAGGTCCAAGAGGATGGCGTTTCAGAGGCGCGTGTGGTTCAGCTTCCACTGTCTTTGCCGGAATTCTCCCTCCCTCACACGGAGCCTGGCGCCGATATTGCAAAAGCAATTTCTGTTCAGCTTTGGGATGAGCAGGCTTCACTGATACCAAGTTGGGAAATCCATCAATTAGGATTCTTTGGGTTACATGTGACCAAATGCTACCCAGTTGGCTTAAGCACAGCGAGAATCTGCCAGCCCATGTGACTCAGAATCCAGGATCCGTCCTGGCCTCGGGTCCGCCCGATCAGACCCAACTCTGTCTCCGGGACTCCGTTTCTCTGCCTCTTGGCTTCCCTGAGTCTACGCACGGTGGCAGCGTGGCAGTCAATACTCTCGCCAAATGGTTCAAGCCTCCAGCCCAGGAAGATCAGCCAGCTCATTTCCAGAAAGCGCGACCAAGGTCTCGTTGCCAGGACTGCTCCTGTGGGGTCCTGCTGTCTGCCCGAGGCGGTCGCCGTGGCAGGGACGCTACACGCCCAGAGTGTGCGTGGCCTGGAACAGATGCCGTGGACGTCCCCTCCCGCCCTCGCCCCGCCCACCTCCTCACGCACTGGCACGTTATCACCTGAGAGTTCTGTCTCGCCTGCAAAGCCGTCCTTCCCGCCTGCGCGGCAGGACAGACGCACCGAGGAGTTTGCATGTCCCCATCCAAGGAGCCCTCTCCCCCGCGACAAACGGGAGTTGGCACGGACTTATTCCAGCGCCCTGGGCCCTCCCGTGGGTCAACGCAGCTCGACACGGGGCCTTCCCCCACCCGGCGGTCCTGGCCAGACACCTCCTGCTGTGGTCCCAAGTGCCCTGCTCTGTCTCACTTCCCCACCCCCTGACTGAGGTTGTCTGCCCCTCCCAATAAACCACTTGCAATGGAATCCTTCTGGGAAAACCCAAACCAAGATGCGGGTCGACCGCACAAACCACATGAGTTTGAGAGCAGAGTGGTTTCCGGATCGTTTCGCTAGAAAACACGAGAATTGACACCGGGCAACAAACAGCACACGCGGCCCCTCCTAATATCTGACGGGCGAGGAGGCTGAGGTGCCTTTCGCAAGCAGTGAAGCCACTCTGTGCACAGGGAACCCACAGACTACAACCCCAGGGCCAAACCCAGCCTGTGCTCGCTTCTCTAAGTACAGATTGTTGGGGACGCAGCCACACCCGTCCATCCCTGACCCCTTCCGCTGGTCACAGGAAGAAGTGAGTAGTTGGGGCAGGTGCTGAGTGGTCCACCATGCCTGTACTGCCAGCCCTTTCTGGAAAAAAAGCATCCGACCTCTGCTGAAGGAGACCCGAGAGGGTGATTTCTAAATGCTGGCTGAACGGGTGAACCACCCAGGAGGTTTAGGAATTGGTGCAGTTGGGGCGCCACCCTGACAAATTGAGTGTGGATCACTGGAGGTGGGACCAAGCACCACCGGATGATTCCGTGGTGCAGCCACGGTTGGAGACGAGTCTCTCTCGGACTTCAAATGCCATTACTCTCACATTACTGTTACCAGGGCGCGTCGGTAAGAGCTTGTAAGCAAACGCGCTGAATCCCACGATGGACTCCAGGGAACAGATCCGAGCTCTTTGGGTTACACACCCTCCCTACCCCACCCAACCCAACCCAAGCAAGGCTCACGGAAGGTAAACGTCTAGGAAAGCGTTCTCACTCGTGTGCGCTCAGATCACCTGGAGACTCTTCGTGGAGGCAGATTCTCATTCAGGAGGTCTGAGTTGGGTACTTTTATAAAGTCCCGAGTCGTGCCAGTGCTGCGGGTCTGACAGACCAGACGTTGAGTGCTGACGATCGAGTTGAGCGAAATTTGTCATCGGGGAAGGTGGTTTCCCTTCTGCTTTCCTCTTGTGTCCCTCCCGGTTAGAGTCACTTGCAGGAGGCTGTGCTGGGCGGTGCCACGCTGGCATTTTCATGGCATCAGGTCCAGCAGGAGGAGAGCAAAAGACGCCTCGGTGCCAACACTCAAGCAAATCTCCCGGCACTGGCTCTGATTAGAACGGATTGGCTCACTCAGCTCGGGTCACGTGACCAACCTGAAGCCAGTCACTGGAGCCAAAGGGCGTGATGCTCTGATTGGAGGGGTCTGGGGGACTTGTCTTCCCGGGACTTGTCTGTGTGGAGTCAGACTGAGAGCGGGTGGGCATGGTGCACGATGGGAAACTCTGGCTGCCCCTGGGAAAGGGGGAGCAGACAAACACAAAGAGCAGATCCTCACCACAGAAGGTATCATCTACCCCCAGGACCCGTTAATACGTTGAGGTCGGAGAATGATTGCTCCTGACTTCGCGTGTCCAAGAATAGGCATCAACAATGTATAGCCAGTGGGCCAGAGTCAATCCGCTGCCTGTTTCTTGTATACCGTGCAAGCTGGGAATCGTTTGTGTGTTTCCAAATAGCTACATTTTAAATAGTTATGTAAGAAGCGTTTTAGTACGCTCCGTTTTGCCTCTCGGCCAGCAAACCCTGAAATACTTTCCATCTGGCCCCTCAGGGAGAAAGTTTGCAGGCTTACGACACAGAGCATCACCACCAGTTCTAGGGTGTAAGAGCCTGGCTCCTGTCCTACCTAGTTTAAACAGAGAAGGCATTCGGGGCGCCTGGGTGGCTCAGTGGGTTAAGCCTCCGACTCTTGATCTCAGCTCAGGTCATGACTTCACGGTTTGTGAGATCGAGCCCCACATCAGCTTCTGTGCTTGGGATCCTCTCGCTCCCTCTGCCTCTGCCCCTTCCCTGCCTTGTGCCCTCTCTCTCTCTCTCTCTCTCTCTCTCTCTCTCTTTCAAAATAAATCCACTTAAAACCATTTACAAGAAACAGAGAAGGCATCCAGATATGGTGAAAAGCAAAATCACGATAAGGATAGGAGATATTATTTTGTCCCACTTTCCAAGGGACAAGAAAGCGCTCCTTGGAGCGTGATGTGATTATTGGGGTTGTTGCGTTTTGGAAGATGGCATGACTACTGATGTCATACCCAGAATCCGTTTGTTGGCGAGTAACTGTGAGTGAATTCCAACTGGCTTCACCCAAACGATCTCTGACGGCCCCACATCTCCGCGCGGGGCACAGACCGCCGGCCCGTGTTCAGGTGCTCGTGTGACGTCATCCCCCGCAAGGTTTTTCTTTTTTTTTTTTTTTTTTCCTAGATGAGAAATGTTGTGTTTTGGTTTTGTTCTGTTTTTTCAAAAAGTAACTAGGAAGCCAATCCTTATGTTACCTGTTAGCGAGCCAACTGGTCAGGTCTGGGAAATAAGTAAATTGTCCCCATTGTCGCTCATTCTGAAG